CCCGCAACATACAATACTTGGATTTCAACTTCACGATGAAGGATATTCAAGTCAAGGCTCAACTTCACATCGAAGGGGCCATCTGCGATTTCAACTCCACGAAGGAGGATATCGTGGCACTCGAGGCAACACAAGTTCAACTTCACAACGAAGGGACGGCTGGTTGTCAACAAACAACTTCTCAATTTCAGAGTCAATTTCAACTTCACAACGAAGGATATTGGACTCCAGACAACGCAAGTTCAACTTCACGACGAAGGGACCGCTGCCTGTCAACAACAACTTCTCAATTTCAGAGCCAATTTCAACTTCACAATGAAGGATATTAGACTTCAGACAACGCAAGTTCAACTTCACGACGAAGGGACCGCTGCCTGTCAACAACTTCTCAATTTCAGAACCAATTTCAACTTCACAATGAAGGATATTGGACTTCAGACAACGCAAGTTCAACTTCACGACGAAGGGACCGCTGCTTGTCAACAACAACTTCTCAATTTCAGAGCCAATTTCAACTTCACAACGAAGGATATTGGACTTCAGACAACGCAAGTTCAACTTCACGACGAAGGGACCGCTGCTTGTCAACAACAACTTCCCAATCGCAGAGCCAATTTCAACTTCACAACGAAGGATATTGTTCTCCAGACAACGCAAGTTAAACTTCACGACGAAGGGACCGCTGCTTGTCAACAAAATTTCATTCAGATTCAATTTCAACTTCACGACGGAGGATATTGGACTCTGAACAATGCTACTTACTTGGATTTCAACTTCACGACGAAGGATATCCAATTTAAGGCTCAACTTCACGACGAAGGGAATCGTGCACACAAGCATCATCCATCTTTAGATTGGATTTCAACTTCACGGCGAAGGATATCCAACTCAAAAAGGGATTATATGTCAACAAAGACCTTCGAGTTCGACTACGCTCAGCTCCAAGGCACATCATTTACAGCATAACTCAATGCTAGAAGGGTTATATGCCATCAAAATTGTCGAGTTCGATTCCATTCAGCTCGATGACACATCAATCGCACTACTTTCCGGTTGCAGTCGATGTTTTCAAGTCGAGAAGAGGACCTGGGTTAACCGTGCCTTAGTGACAAGCAACCATTTTCAAACAAAAGCTATATGTCAATGAATATTTCTGAGTTCGATTCCGATCCAAGGTCTTTAAACCGAGAAGAAGACCGAAGGGCAACGAGAAGCCACGTTCTGATTCAAATTCTGAACTACGGCTTCAATTTCATATCATTCCAAGATGAACTCGGCTTCACGACGGAGGAGTCATCCGTAACTCAATTCGACAGGGAGTTATTGAAACATCAGAGTCAATTTTCAACTCCACCGAACGAAAATTGTGTCTTTTAATCTTTGCCCTATCCCCGTTACACGACTATGGGCAAAGAGGGGCAGCTGTCAACACACCTTTTCGTCCTACTAGAATTCAAACTCCTAAAGATAGGATAGAATTTTGCTAGGATTCAAAAAATAGGATAGAGTTCTACTATGATTTAAACTCCTAAAGATAGGATCCACAAGCACTATAAATAGCCATTGTAACTCACTATTGTAGGACACGATTTATACACAAAACATAGAGGAAAGCACGGGAAGATACAAAGGCAAAGCTATTGTAAAGGATTCGAAAAAGAAATAAAAGGTAGCATTTTCTTTTTTCTTTCTTTTGCATGTGCACGTTATTTTTTTTGAGATTTGGTTCGAATAACCCAAAACGTGGGTTGCGCCGATGACCAAAATGGGTGGGGTTTCGAAGTTTCGAACCTAGATCTACCCCGAGGCTTATTTTTAAAAACCGGTTTGATTTTCGGTTAAAAGAGGGAAAGAGCTTTTTAAAAATCTATATTAGTCCCTTTATTTATTATATGGATATTTTATTCATTTATTTTTATTATTCATGTATTATTATTATATGTATATATATATTAAATTATTTTCATTTGATTTTTTACTATATTTTATTATTATTATATATATATTTCTTTAATATTTTACTTATAAGTCTAATATTACTATATATATATTAAATTATCTTTATCTAGTCGTATATATTTTTTATACTTTTAATAGTTTATTATATACATATTATTAAATATATATTCTTAATTATTTTTATTTGATTATTTCTTTATTTATGTAATATATCTTATAACTTTATATATTTATATTATTTTTTATTATTTTCATTTTTTTTATTCATTATTATTATATTATTATTTTTTAAAAAAACCTTGTGTCTTTATCATTATCATTATTAAACATTATATTATATACTACTAACCTAGAGGGCCCATTTTTTTGTCTTATTTCTTACTAGAGCCCCCCATTTTCGGTGAATTGGGAGGGTAGCTTTTCTATTTTATGTATTTGGTGTACATATATAGCTTATTTATTTTATTAATACTTTGATATATATATATATTTATATTTTTTCCTTTTTTCAAATATTACTATATATAATTATTACTTTACTATTTTTTCTTATCTTACTTACTTATTTTATTTATTTTTATTTTTCCCTTGTATCTTATTTGTTTTCTTTACCTTGTTTATCTAACACATTTCTCGATTTTTTTTCAAATCAATCAAGGGTAAGTAATTAGGATCGAAACTTTACCTTTTAATTTAACTTGTTATTTTTCTTAATTAAGACAACTGGAAATTACGTAGTACCGAAAGGGCGGTTCAAGGGTGCTAATCCTTCCTTGACCGTAACCGACTCCCGAACCCGACATATTTCTGGTAAGACGTAGATCAGATAAGAAATAGGGTATCCGATCAACCCATTTATTTTTAAATAAATGATCGGTGGCGACTCCAATCTACATTTTTCAAGTCGAAGCCCAATTCCGGGGCCCAACCGAAAGACGGTTGCGACACTAATAAATATTAAATTTTTAACTTTTTTATAAAATTAATATGACATTTTTAACTATCGTTAAAGGGTGAAATGATATATTAAATTAATAGAATAATTTCATTTATCCCCTCAATTGTAAATAAAAGTTCATTTTAAATAAATTTTTAATATTTTTAAATAATAATCCTAAAATATATTTTTAAAAAGAATCGTCATTTCTTTTTCTTAGATGATAAATTGATAATTGATAAAATAAAAATACAAAAACGAAGGAAAATGACATTTTCTTTCATTAATTACGAAATGAAAATGACGATTTTTTTATAATAAACAGTTAAAGTTGGCTAAAAACGCGTCTTATCGACTTGCTTTTGAAAGTAGGATACTCTTTCATTGCCTTTTTAAAAATAATTTTTATTGTTTGCATAAAGATCAAATTTAAAAAATAATAATTAACCTCTCAATTTTTTAAAAAAAAAATTCAATCAATCCCCTCTATCATATTTATATCATAATGATTAATGACGACTTTTGTCAATCAAAAAGCCGCATTGATTAATTATTTAAGTTTAAAGGTTTTATTAAATATAAAAAATTAAGAATTTGAATAAATTTTATTAATTTTTTAAAAAAAGTTCAAGGATTTATTTAACTCTTAAACTTTTAAAATGTATATATTTTATATAAGGTCTTTATATATTTCCGTTAACTTAAACAAACTCGAGTAGTTTTCTATTAATTTAAATAAATTATATAAATTTAAACTTAATTAATTCAGCTTATCTCAAAATAATTTATTTTCTTAAATAAGATTAAAAAATTATTTAAAAACATAGTACAAAAATAAAATTCTTAAAGAGATGAAATCATAGGATAGGATGATTCATAAATATTCAAAAATGAAATGAAGTCTAAAATTTATGCAACAAACAAGTGGAGAGTTACACAATAACAATATTACAACCCATCATTATAAATTACTTATACAAGAGTTTTATTTCATACAATATAACAACTCCTCCTTCAGCACTCAGCAGTAACATGCTATAACCTGCCATTAAAGGGGAAATAAAAAGGATGAGTGAATTTTACTTCCAATAAAACTAACACTCACAGCTTACCTTCACTTATTGCAAAATAAAAAAAGATAAATTATATATCCAGATAATGTCATATTATCATTGAAAAAATATTAAAAAAATTCACATTAACAGTTCTGTAATATTTTTAATTGTGGGTGATCAAAATGAAACCAAAATGTAACATTAGTGATGATTTTGAAAAATATAATAATTAAGTGACCAAAATAGAATCAAAGTGATAGTTGGGTCACAAAATATGTAGTTTACCCAAAAATCTTCATATATATATATATATATATATTAAAATTTCGACATGACAATTTAAATTTTCTGATTTTATCTTTGTGTATATTGAATACTATACTACACGCATATATATAATACATATGTATATGAAGCTGATATTTCCAAAAATTTCTACAAAAACTGCTTTCAGGTCAAGCCTAGTGCCGATCTTATTTAATAGATATTTTATCTTAGTTCTCTTCGTATCTTCACGAGCTTTCAGGATTTCGAACATAAGAGTGAGTTTAATTTGGGTCTTTGGGTGGCAACACTTTGTTAGGTAATTCTTAGTTTCTCATGTTCTTCTTAAAGGATAAAAAGAGATTTTCAATAGAAAATATATAAATTTTTTGTTATTATTTCCTCCCTTCTTTTGTCCTATTCGTACTTTTAAATTTATTATTCGTTTTTTTTATTATTTGCTACTTTCTTATTACTTTTCTAGAATATTGCTCCTCTGCTATAGAATACTACTATAAAATATAGAGAAAAAAAGATCAATTGAATAAATGAAGTGATTGCATTTAAAAAATAACATAAACTAAGATAAAATAACATATAAGATATAAAAGTAGAAAAATATTATTAATAATTAATAAATAAAGAATAAAAAATTGACTTAATTCTTTTAGTTTTATGAAAACTGGAATTTGTCAGTAATTCTCATCTTTATTTGACTATCAAAAGATCCAAAACATGAGTAATTAAGGTATTGAAATTAAATAAAACAATTGAAAAGAATATCATTTTCGTTTCTTTTTCTTCAAGTGTCTTCTCTCTTTTGAATCATTTGAGAGACGTTGACTCCCTCTAAAACGACGTCGCTGAAGCGCAATCGGAGTGGTACAGTCGCCGTGAATAAGCTACGGTACTGTCTTAATTGAAGCTCCGAAATCCGCTGTTTCAAGGTACGTTTCTGATAACATCGCTTTGCTTTGATTTTCTTTTTCCTTTTCATTGTTCATTACATTCGTAATATGATTTTGGTTTGATTTTCAGATAATGGAGCAAAAAACATGGCTAGTTTTGGTGATCTTTACATGTGTAATTGCGTCTTCCTGCGGAAGAGGTACTTTTTATATTCAATTCGTTTAATTTTTTAAATGAGGTTTTCTTGTTATAATTTTAGTGAATTATTCATGATTTATGCAAATAAATGTTGAAATCAGCTCAAGAAATTCTATTTTAATTGATTTTTTTTGTTTTTGCTTTTGAGATGTTAAAACTTTAGTTTATTAAGGACTTTGCTTCCGTCTTCTGCAGAATTGCAGGTCAAACACAATCATAAACTCGCCGTCTACAATCATACTCTTGCGACTATTTTAGTAGAATATGCTTCCGCGGTAAAGTTGTTATTATGCATTTGAGCTTAAAGGTTTAAATATTTTTTAAGGAAATTTTAGTTTCGTGCTGCAGTTGGTTAAATAGTGAGCTAATGAATTCGTTGTATATGTAACTATATGCCATAATTGAATGAAACATGAAGCAAATGAAATGAGGATGAAATTTGGGGTTGGTGTAAATGATCCTGTAACATTTATTCTTAGAGTAGATGGGTCAATGACTTCAATTTTGTTGCCTAAGACGTTTTTGTAAGAGTTGCTGTTTGCTTATATTGCTTTGTATCCTTTATTGTTTTTCGTAACTCGGACAAATGTGGTTCCTGTAGATGTACATCTCGGATTTGACGGAACTTTTTACATGGACGTGTGAACGATGTAATGGTTTGACGAAGGTGTTTGATTTTCTATTGGATTTTCTTTAATCTTCAATGTTTAAGTAGGTTTCCAGTCAAATGGATTGCTCTAATGCTCCTTGATATTGGAACAGGGTTTTGAAGTTATTGAGCTAGTTGTGGATATTGAAAACTGTTTACAGGTGAATCTCTTTGTGTGATTTGGTATTTATTGAAATTATGACCCATTTAGGTGTTGAACTTAAGAGTACTTTTGTTTGTAATTGACAATCAATTGATAGGCATTTGTCGGAGTGGCGAAGGATCTTAACGCCATTGTTATTTCCTTTAGAGGAACGCAGGAAAGCAGGTACTAACATAATTTGCCTTTGTACTTTCAGTTCAACCAATGTTTTCAAAAGAATAAGCACTCGTGGCATCAAAACATAAATGATAAGCAAATTTTGAATCATGCAGAAGCTGATAGTCTTTTTTTCTTTTCTTTTTGAATATGTTTTACTGTTTTCTGGTTGATTGATTTATTTGTCTGTTTGCAGCATACAGAATTGGATTGAAGACTTGTTCTGGAAACAGCTTGATTTAAATTACCCCGGCATGCCTGATGCTATGGTATGCATATCAAATTCCTCCCAATTTTTGAATTTATGCTGGAGTGATTGTAATTAATGTTGTCTATTTTGGCTATTTCAGGTGCACTATGGATTTTATTCTGCTTACCATAACACAACCATACGCCATGGAATTCTGCATGCGGTTAAAGAAGCAAGAGAGTTTTATGGGGACCTTGACATCAGGGTGACAGGTCATTCAATGGGAGGGGCTATGGCTTCCTTTTGTGCACTTGATCTAACGGTAATTTTGAGCCTTTCTTGCTGCAGCTGGAAATATATTATTATTGTTATTCTTTTTTTCATTGTGCTGTAAAGATGAAACCTTATATACTGCAACATGGTTCCTATGATGTGCCATGGCGTTTCCAAATCTTTTTGAGTTACTTTTCCTGTATTAAATTCTGGAAGTTTTGCTGGTTGCTTTGTCAGAGTTGTAGTATGAGAAAATGAATCTTTATCCCCAGGTTAATCATAAAGCCAAGAATGTTCAAGTTATGACATTCGGACAACCTCGTATAGGGAATGCTGCCTTTGCTTCTTATTATGCCAAGCTTGTGCCGAATACTATTAGAGTGACAAATGACCATGATATTGTGCCTCATCTACCACCATACTATCCTTATTTCCCTCAAAAGACGTACCATCACTTCCCTAGAGAGGTAAGTATCTATGATTGTTGAAATTAATTCTCTATGATTCCTGGTATTACTTGGCAATGTAAATGTAAACTTAGGCCTAACAGTTCAATCATTGGATTATTATAGAGAAATTGAACGTTATGCACCTTTCAGTATAGAAACATCTTTTACTATCGAGGAAGCCCGGATTGTTGCCCATATCCATATGTTGTTTTGATTCTCAACTAACAGTAACAATTAATGTCAGTATCATGAAATGTAGCATTTTCCTAATGGTTCAAGAAAGAGACTCCTCGTTAGTTGCAGCATTACATAGAATATAAATTTAAACAATGTCTTTTTTTTTTGAGTCTACACAATTTAACATCCATAAATATAGGGCACAATCGTGTTCTGTTATGCTAGAAAAGGACTTGTATCCGTTGCATGTAAGACTGCAGCCTGATTAAAAGAAGAACGACATGGATAAGTTCATTAATTTAAATCCTTGTTTGTAGGTGTGGTTGTATAACCTTGGATTGGGAAGTATGGTTTATAGAGTTGAGAAGGTCTTGTGATGGTTCCGGTGAAGATCCAACCTGTAGTAGGTAAGCCTATTTCGGTATGTTGATTTTGATTGTGATGGAAATTTATCAATACAATGAACTTCATTTATTACTTTAGATTATACTGCTCCGGATCTTTATTTTTCTAGAAATATCGATACCCAACACATTTTGAATATGTGTATATTTGGATATGGCCTCCAAAAACATGAACTTCAAAAAAATATTGTACATAGCCGCATTGGACCCATACCCGCATTTGATAATCACACTCAAGTTCAAGTAGCATAGGCTTAAGCAATTTTGCCTTTTGTCAATTTTATGATCTTTTGGTTTATGAAAATGTAAGATGAAGCGTCTCTTAGCCATTTGTTGTTGTCATGGTTGGAGAGGGAAGACGAAAAGGAGAAGATGGAAGACGAGAGATGAGTATCGAAGAAGAAGTGGGAGAATTGGGGGAAATGAATAATCAAGAGTTAGGGATTAAGATTGAGTTGAGAGGTGATTACCTGAGGGCAGAGCACGTGAAGAGCATGGGGGGAATTAAAACAATTACCCAGCAGATTTAGAATGATGGTCCAGTAGATACAGGTGGAGCACAGGAAGCCCAGTAGAATCCCAATTCCTGTTATGATAACAGAATTGGTTAGACGTCCAGCTGGCATAACAGATTCAATGAGTGTATGTAAATAATTGGCAATGTAAACAGAAAATGGTTAAGAAAAGAATGAATGAACTTCCTTCTCTCTGAAATCTCTCCTATTCTCTCCTATTTTTCTCGAAATTCTTCTCTATTTCTCTTCAATCTATAACAAATTGGTAATCAGAGTTAAAATTCTGGTAAATTTTTTTTTTGAGGCATGACAAAGAAGAATCAATCTATGGCAGAAACGGATTTAGCTGGGATTCAGAAACAAATTGAAAACCTTCATGCCTTGGTGAAACAAGGTCAGAATGAGACTAATCCACCTAAATGGTGGGAGACTCAGGAAACAAGGATTACTGCACTGGAGGCTAGGATGACCACAAATCACAGCTATGTGGAAGATATATTGAGGATACTGGCAGGCAGAACTGGAGACCAAGAGCAGTCTGTGGGTGAGTAGGTACAGTCTCCTGATACTTCTCAAAATAGGGAAAAGACTCCTGTTATGGTGACTGTGGTGAATGACAAATCTAGGTTTACTTATAAAATGGATGAACCTGGGATATTAAAGACTAAACCTGATGCTTGTCTAGCCATTAAGAATAGTTCTAGGTCTGAGAATCAAATGGGTGAAAACAATGACTCTAGACATATTATTTTGGGACTAGAAACTGAAAAAAGGGGCCAGGGGGTTCATTTAGTTCTGGAATTATGTGGAATAGACCTAAAATAGAACTTCCTTTCTTTGAAGGGGTTAATCCGAGAGGGTGGGTTCAGAAGTGCCTGAAATACTTTTATATTTGTGGGGTTCCTGTTGAGCAGAGAGTGGAATTAACTACAATGTATTTAACAGGCAAAGCAGAAGTTTGGTTTGATGGTTACATTATGCAGAAGCATCATGTTACATGGCATGAATTTGAGGCAGACCTATGTCATAGGTTCTGTGATAAGGCCTTTACTGATATAGTGGAGGAATTTACAAAGCTGGTACATAAAGGGTCTGTGGAGGAGTATCAGGACAGATTTGAAGAACTACAGCCTCATATGCTTTTGCAAAATCCTACACTAGGTGAAGAATTCTTTGTCTCTCTGTTTATTAGTGGACTAAGAGATGATATTAAACATAGAGTCAAGGCTCTAGACCCTAAAACATTATCTAAAGCATACAGGCAAATTAAACTGTATGAATTATCTGTTGAATTTGAAAGTAAGAGAATGAGGCCAGCTTTTAGAAACCCACCCTACCCAAATTCCCTACCTGTTTCTAAACCAACTCAGTTACCATTTCCACCAAAGAGTTCATCTAATTTGCCACCAAAACAAAATTTAATAGAGTACATAAGACAAAATAATATGTGCTTTAAGTGTGACGAGAAATTTGTTCCAGGCCATCAATGTAAAACAAAACAATTGAATATGATGCTTGAAGAGGAGACTATTCTACCTTTGGATACTCAACCTACTGATTCAGAACAGCCAGTTATACAGGAGGAAGAGAGCTTAGAAATATCTATGAATGCTATCACTGGATGTATTGGTCATAATACACTAAGAATTCAAGGCAGTATCCAAGGTAAACCATTGAATATTTTAATCGACAGTGGTAGTACCCACAGTTTTTTAACACCACAGTGGGCTGAGGCTGGTTTACAGGTGAATACACCTTATCCTTTGGCTATTACAGTGGCTAATGGTCAACATCTCTATAGTTCAACAAGGTGTAATGCAGTGGAATGGCAAATGCAAGGACACTCTTTTGTTC